ATATATATACTCCCATCGCGATAATATGTGGATAAAATAAGTAATGTTGGGCAAAAATCTCAGAATAAAAATAACAGTTATGCAAAACTGGGTCGGATAGCTGAATCCATCAGTAGTAGAATGGGATCCCTATTACTGCAGACAGAGATGGTCTGAGAAAAGATTCAGTTAGTATATTTACTACCCCCTCCCCACACGATTAGATGTGGCACAGGGGCCGAGTTTAATGTGAGTTATCCGAGCTCGTATACTCAGGCAAAAATTCCCCATTGACCCCGTAAAAAACGGGGTCGTGTCGCTATTTCCTGAGACGAGACTCTGCCCTTCGACATTGTCTCGTCTGGGGATCCTCTCTGCTTGGAGGCAGAGAGTTTGACCAGCACAGCTGGAACAGATTTCAGCAAGACTCTGGCAGTTACTACCTATAGTGTAGTCACTCATGGGGGTGACAGGTTATTCCATTACATCATATAGTAAGCTCACATACGTGAAAACACAATGCATTTCTTTTGTGTCTATAAACTGTGAACAGCTCTGCCTGTCTGTCTGTCTCTGTATATATATATATATATATATATATGATAGGACAAGGAAGAAGTAGAAAACGTTTATAGTTTAACTTGTTTCGCTTTCATTAAAGCTTCATCAGAAAACGAAATATGGAAAAGCAAAATAAAATTCTGCTATTTCTAGTTTTGTTTTTTCATTGGTTAAACTGACCTCACCTACATCTGTCTTGTCAGGCAGCGTTTTTGTGTATAATTCCTATGGATATGTGAAGCATATTCTAGTTTGTTTATACAGGATTCGGATTCAGTTTCATTCAGCTGGACGCAGGTTCGAATCCTTTGAGTCCATGCGTGCGTGGGAAATTACCATAACAAAATCATTTCCAATGCATTTTCATAATAAAAAACATATACAATGCATTTTCTTAATAAAAATCATTTCCAATGTATTTTCATAGTAAAAATCATTTACAATGCATTTTCATAGTAAAAATCATTTACAATGCATTTTCATAATAAAAATTATTTCCAATGTATTTTCATAGTAAAAAAATCATTTCCAATGTATTTTTATAGTAAAAATTATTGGTCAATGTATTTTCATAATAAAATCATTTCCAATGCAATATAAAAAAATTATTATTAATGATTTTCAGTAAAAAATTCCAATGCATTTTCATAGTAAAATACTCTAACGATTTTCAGGTAAAATCATTGGACAATGATTATAGTAAAAACCATTTCCAATGCATTATTAGTAAAATCATTTCCAATGCATTTTTTATAGTAAAAAATCATTGGACAATGTATTTTCATTGTAAAAATCATTGGACAATGTATTTTCATAGTAAAAATAATTTCCAGTGCATTTTTATAGTAAAAATAATTTCCAATGCATTTTTATAGTAAAAATCATTGGACAATGTATTTTCATTGTAAAAATCATTGGACAATGTATTTTTATTGTAAAAATCATTGGACAATGTATTTTCATTGTAAAAATCATTTCCATTGCATTTTCATAGTAAAAATCTATTGTGGCCTGGTTAGGGCCAGAATTAAAGACACAATAGAGAAATTGAGTTAAACAAATATATTAATAGAGACAGTAATACAAATATATACAAACGAGAGTGTTACAGCAAGAATATTCGGTCCTACTGTCAGAGCTGACTACTGGAAACTTCCCTCTCGAAAAGGCAGTACCTGCTCCTATTTATAGCTGGTAAAATCCATGCGTGCCTGGATAAATTACCATAACAGGTGTATATTTCGACAATCTGAGAAAGATTTGCGTTTATAAGGCATAATATTCAACTTTGCTCCCTCATCGACTCACTTCGTGGCCGAGATGCTCTACAGCACGATCTAATGCCGGTTTTTCCTCTCAAAGGTGTGTGTGTGGGGGGCGGCGCAGTTTAAAATGTTGTGGATGTCAGCATTTATTTTCCTTAATAAGATTTCTTGAATACTGAGGTCGGTAAAGGAAAATAAATAAATATACTGTTTATTAAATAAATAGAACTTCTACTCAAATATGAGTATCCACTATAAATAACGTTTAAGTAATAAAAATCTTTCGGATTAATTTAGCAAAAAACAACACTTCTTTTAATAAATATAAATTTCCTTCAAATTTCAGACCGGAGTAAGCGCCTTGTGTTTGGTACCTTTCATAGTATTCGGGATAAAAGATGGGACGTTTTCTCTCTTCATCATCTACAGCCAAAATCAATTTAATTTTGACAGTTCAATTATCGAGTTTTGCCAAAATATTATCTTAAGCCCTGGATTTTTTCCAATTATTCCCTTTGATAAAAAGGAAAAAAAAACAGTGCTGGATACAAAATTAGAGCTTAAATTATAATAATTTAAAAAAAAAATATAATTCCATCGCTACACAGAAATTACTATGTTTCGAAACTTGACTCAAGTCCTAAAGTTTAATTTCAATATTAAACCTAAAATTTAGAGTACAGTTTCATTCTTAAGCGATGTTTAGAATAACTAACTGAAGAAATGTTTTTTTCTTTTGTTATCAAAGAGTCACTACTGTGATGGAAGTATAGATGTTTATTAAATGTCAAATTTTTGGAGTCGTGTAAGGTTGGTTTTAGGAATTTTTGACAGGCTACAATAGCGTTTTTTTTTTTCCCAGGCTCCGTTGTTTTTATTACTATATGTTAAAACTTACTGACTGATGTTCTAGTTACAATCTCTTTGGTTTTAATTTATTTGTTTTTTCCTTTGATGGTTTCTTAAAGGGAGGCTTAGATATGATTGGGTTGTATTTTTAATTCTGTAGTTTTATACGTGTCTGAAATTAATTTAATTTGCTAATAGATTTTGTATGGTATTGTGTAATTATTTATATATGGTATTGTGGAAATTTTTTATCCATTTATAAATTACTAATTGTTTAAGGCGTATATTTGGTAGTGTCTGCAAAAAACGGTATTTCATTTCTTTGATTTAATAATTTTTTTGTATATACAGGTATAAGATAAGAACAAATTGAGGATATTTCCACTGACCGTAGCATTAAATTTTAAAAAAAGCGCTCAATACAGAAAGGAGTTTGATATTATTTATTATAGATGATTAAAACAAAAACATGTTAAAAATCGCTACACAATAGCTTTCGCGATTCGGCTCTAAGTTGTGTCTACTCTTAATGTTTTAAGTTGTTAAGGTTAAGGAAAATTCAATCTGTTTTGATTAGGGGTAGTTGGGTTTTAATTTCCTTCGAAAACTTATGTATCAAACATATGTTACTTACATAAAATATTAAGATTCTCTGCGCTTAAGTAAATTTCTTACAAAGTTATTCCTAACATCGCTTGACAATGGAACGAAACACTGGATTTTAAGTTTAGTTTTTGTAACTAAATTTACAACTTTAGTTTCAGTTTTGAAAAATTTCTGTGTAGAAATGGAATCATATTTTTCAAAGAAGAAATAATTACAATATTATGCTCTACTGTTTGCATCGAGCAATGTTTTTTTAAATAAAATAATTGCTAAGAAAACCGGATTCTAAATCTTACTGTTCTTTCCTTATTAATGTAATATATATATATATATATATATATATATATATATATATATAAGAAAGAAGAAAGAACAGTTCATATAATTATTTTTTATAAAAAAAACAGTGCTATATCTATATATATATATATATATATTTATATATAACACTATTTTATTTATATATATATAAGATAATAAGAAAGAACAGTAGGTTTTAGTATTCTTTGCAATTATTTAAAAATTTTATTATGTACATTATTATTATATATATATATATATATATATATATATATATATATATATATATATATATATATAGAATAAGAAGAAAGAATGATAAAATTTATAATCTAGTATTCTTAGCAATTATTTTTTCTATTTAAAAAGTGCTATATAATATATATATATATATATATATATAAATAGTATTCCTAATATATATATATATATATATATATATATGTATATATATATATAAATATATATATATATTATATAGATATTTTAAATATATATATATATATATTGCTATATATATATATATATATATATATATATATATATGTGAGTATGTGTGGGGGTATGTATGTGTCCCTATTTTCAAGTGGGATTCGAGTTATTTAATAACATTTTCCCTTTACCGTACCGTGAGTTGAACGGAATTGAAAGTTTTGAATATTCGATTCCAGGTCAGAGAACGATATAAGAAAGCTATGTTTTTATATCGATTCTATTTTAAAATTCTGTTCCGTCAATTAAGTCGCAACATCACATAGTTGGCTAACAAAGAAGCGGGCGAGTTGCCCGAAAGTTTATTGTGTCCAGTTAAGTGGTCCAAGTTGACTTCATTATTTACAGGCAAAGTTAAACATTAATTTGACATTTTGGACTTGGATAACAGGACGAGCAAATTTAATGGTGGCGTGTTTGGGCAATTTTGTTTGAGCAGTCAGCATGTCTGTTAGAACATTCCACTTGTGTCTCTCGAATGGCATTTTGATGTTTAACTGAAATGGTCTTTCGATTTTGGAGGTGACTAGTGATTAAGAGGAAACTGTGGAGGCGGAGGATAGAAAGAAAGAACTGAAGAGACGAGAGGCGAGAGAAAGGAGAATGAGAGAGGTCGAAGGGAAGGGGAAAGACGGTGGATTCAAAAAAGAAAGAAAAACACGAATAGAAAGAAAGGTAAAGTGAGAAGGTTGATGAAAAGGGGAAAATGTCAGAACCAAGAAAGAGAAAGAGAGAAAGAGAGTGTAAGGGAGAGAGAGAGATGGGAAGAGAGAGAGAGAGAGAGAGAGAGAGAGCGAGATGGGAAGAGAGAGAGAGAGAAAGAGAGAGAGGGTCAAAGGGAATGGAAAAATGGAAAAGAAGAGAAAAATACAAATAGAGAGAAAGAAAAAGTGAAAAGTTTGATGAAAAGGGGAAAATATCAGGGCTGAGAAAGAGAGAAAGAAAGAATTAGCGAGAGAGAGAGAGAGAGAGAGAGAGAGAGAGAGAGAGAGAGAGAGAAAGAGAGAGAGGAGTCAAAGGGAAGGGAAAAACGGAAAAGAAGAGAAAAATACAAATACAGAGAAAGAAAAAGTGAAATGTCAGGGCTACGAAATATAGAAAGAAAGAATTAGCGAGAGAGAGAGAGAGAGGGGGGGAGTCAAAAAGGAAGGGACAGAGAAAAGAGAAAAAGAGGAGAAAAGAGAAATGAGAAAGCGGGGAAAGAAAAGAGTAAAACGCTAATAGATAAAAAGAGAAAAAGAAAGGGAAAAGAAGTACGAACGTGGAAGAAATGGGAAGGCTAAGGAAAGAAAGAACTAGAGAGAGAGAGAGAGGAGGAGAGAGAGAGGTAGAGAGGGAGGAATCAAAAGCGAAATGAAAGAGAAAAGAGAAAAGAAAAGAGGGAAAAAGAAAAGAGAAAATACAAACAGAGAAAGAAAAAGAATAAAACAAAGTGATGGAAAATGAAGAAGTAGGAAAGCTAGATAGATAGATAGATGAAAGAGAGAGAGAAAGAGAGAGAGGAGTCCAAATGGAGGTGGAAAGAGAAAAGAGAAAAACGTAAAGAGGGGAAAAGAAAGAGATAGATACAAATAGAGAAGAGAGAAAGAAAAAGTAATGTCCGTGAATAAGTCTTAGAACACTTTGCCTAAGTAAATAAAACTTTAATAATAAAAACGAGCACTTTACTGTGTTTCCCAAAGAAAGTTTGTCAGTATTTCGTGTGACTTCCTTTAGCTTGGATAATTGCTTTAATCCGTTGCGGAAGAGATGTACACAAATAAAGGGTGCGATGGATAAATTGTCACCAGTTTATATTTTAAATTTCGCGGATGCACTTTGTTTTTGATGTTGTCGACTGCACAGTATAGTATGGTCAATTGGGCACCGTCTCTAAGAAAAAAAAAAAACACTCCGCCAGATATTTAGAAACGGCATGCTGTACTGCTTGGCATTCGCACCGGAAGCTCCGATACGAACATTTCAGAGTGTTTGAATGTCAATCTGAGGACAGTGCAGAGGATTCGAAAAGAGTTGGATGAGTCTAATGGTGATTACAAAGGTGCGGTAACTCAGAAAACTCACTCTCATAGTTCTGATAACTCTCGAATTTCTTGGTGAGGGATTCAGACTCAACACTAAGACCTACATCAAGTGACTTGAAGAGCTAGTGCTGCCCTGGGTCAAGAGGGTGGAAGATCCTATGTCTGACAATAGGATTCTGCACCTTGCTACACTTGCAGGAGAACCCATTCACGGTTGTCAGACAATTTCTGCGACCATATCCCAGATTCGCACCATCTGACCACTTGATTATCAGCAAGTTAAGCGAGAGACCAACAAAACTCCTTGTAACACCAAAGAGGGAGGCAAGGATTATGACAGCATTCACCAACTAAAACAAGGAGACCGTCCACAAGAGTTGCAGGAAATTCCGAAGTCGTCTGGGGGTCGTGGTTGAAGCCAATGGCGATTTTATTGAATAAATTTACTCTTTAGTATTTCAAGATATGTTTGTGTGATTTTGGTAAATATATGTGTTCGTAATATGGCTGTGTTATTTTCATTTTGGCGTCATTTAGACGACAATTTATCCCTCGCACCCTGTAGATCTGTTTTAAATGAGATGTCAGTGTTATTTTTATTTTTGCGTCTTTTAGACGACAATTTATCAATCGCACCGCGCATATCTGTTACAATGTGATGTCAGTGTTATTTTCAATTTGGCGTCATTTAGACGACAATTTATCCATCGCACCCTGTAGATCTGTTAAAATGAGATATCAGTGCTATTTTATTTTCGGCGTCATTTTGACGACAATTTAGCCATCGCGCCCTGTATATCTGTTAAAATGAAATGTCAGTGTTATTTTCATTTTGGCGTCATTTAGGCGACAATTTATCCATCGCACCGCGTATATATGGTAAAACGAGATGGCAGTGTTATTTTCATGTTTGCGTCATTTAGACGACAATTTATCCATCGCACCCTGTATATCTGTCAACATGAAATGAGATGCCAGTGTTATTTTCGTTTGCCTCGCTTAGACGACAATTTATCCATCTCACTCTGTATTTTATTAATTTCCGTTGTATACGTTACCATTTTCTATCTCTCTCCATAGTTCTTCAACACGGCTACGTGGATTCTTTAGACGATCTGTTTCTCGTCACATTAGCTCGATAATATTTATGTCCGGGTTTTGTGTGTGAACAATATTTTAAGACGTCTCCATTTTCGTCGATGACATATTGCTGAGTCGCACATGCTTTATGACATGGAGTTCTGTCATGCTGAAATTTCTCGTCGCCATTCAAATTAGGAATGAAGTCCCCCTTCAGCAATTCAATATATTTAATGTTATTTCAGTTTCTCCTCCACTTTTATCAATTTTCTAGAATCAACATTTTTTTTTACACATCTCCGAAGCAACATACGCTGGTCACCAAATGTTTTTGTAATATAGTGGCTCTCATTTTTTTTTGTCTTCTAACAAAGTCTCTCGATTCCATTTTTGGTTAATCGTTAAATATGATTTTATTCCAAATGTTTTCCACGTTTCATGCATCTTTTCTCACTCTAAACTGGCCTTCTTTGTCGTTCAACGATGTTTCTTTCTTTTATCAGCTATATACTCCATCAATGCATTTTCTCGAAGAAAGCGTTTAACGGTGTCTAATGTCACCAAATTGGATATGTTTCATTCATCAATCAATTGTCTCGTAATCATTTTTGATTGTGTTGTATTGTTTTACGACAGGTGATCAGTAGTCAACTTCTTCACTGTCTCTTAGGCAGGTGTGAGCCAAGAAGAAGATTGTGGTTTCTCTTGGTATTTCCGAAAAGGTACGAAAGCATCGATGCCGGCATAAGCCCAAGAAGAAACCTCTGTGTCACAATTCTCAGTTGGAAGGTTAAGAATATCAATCCAATGGGCGTCTCGAATAAAGTCACGAAATGAATCCCAATATTACTCTGGTAACAGAAAGAAGTCTTGTAAATAGGAGGTTCTTTCCTAATAGACGACTCAAAAGAAATATCAACAGATACTACAGCGTGATCCGAATTGTCAAGAGGACGGATTTTTGATTCTCGACAAGAGCTAGGAGAGGAGGCAAGAAACAAATCAAGTAAAGAAGTATATCGATCGATTTGATTTATTGGAGAAACAAGTAGGGAAATCCATTATTTAACTAAGAGACTAAACAACGGAAAAATGGTAAGTCTGAATATCGGCAACATTATTAACATAAGAATTCTTAAGGCACTTGACGTGATGAGCATTAAAATTACCAAACACAAAATGTTCGCATCTGAATGTAAAGAGAAAACCAATTATATTTTGCCAGATATTTTACTTAATATGTTTTGTTGTATTGTGTTGTTCTACGACACATGATAAGTAGTCAACTTCTTCCTGTCTCTTTACTATACACTTTATTTCTCTTCTACTTCACATATGCAAATAGGTAGAATCCTGTTTACCAATCTACTACACCTCCCTGAACCAAAGAATTTTAATGCTTTTGGTTGTTCTCGAACTTCTACATCCTCTTTCTTCCTTTCCACCTTGAAGTTTATGCTCTGTTCTTTTTAATGGAGATCTTGGTCTCATTTCATCTTCTTCTGTGTCTAAGTCAATCCTGCCATCATCCATAGGCTCATCTATTACATTATCCTGATCTGAAGAACTCATCTTTTCTTCCCCGTCAATATCTTCTTCCATCACAACGTCTTCCTTTTCAATTGTGGGTCTTAATTGGTCAGAATGGGCGTTTTTTCCCTTTTTTTGATATAATGGCTGTGTTATGCCTCCTTTGCATGATGAAATTAGCTACCTTAGGACTTGCTACATTGTCTTTCTTATGCCACAGGTTGAGTTTTTGATGTTCAAATCAGTTTACGGGTATATCTTTGTTGTAGATTTCGATGGCCACCAGACCTTGATCGGTCCGTACCTCACCAGAAAGGACTTGAGAATCTGCACATCTTGATATTTGAAGTTTCCTAGCTATTTTTCTGTGGTTCATATCCGCGGACATTCCCCTGGTTCACATTCGTGAACATTTCTTTGGTTTATATTCGCGGACATTTCCCTGGTTCATATTCGTAGACATTTCTTTGGTTCATATTCGCGGACATTTCCCTGGTTCATATTCGTAGACATTTCTTTGGTTCATATTCTCGGACATTTCCCTGGTTTATATTCGCGGACATTTCCCTGGTTCATATTCGTAGACATTTCTTTGGTTCATATTCGCGGACATTTCCCTGGTTCATACACGCGGATATTTTCCTAGTTTATATTCGCGGACATTTCCCTGGTTCATATTCTCGGACACTTCCCTGGTTTATATTCGCGGACATTTCCCTGGTTTATATTTGCTGACATTTCCCTGGTTCATATCCGCGGACATTTCTTTGGTTCATATTCGCGGACATTTCTCTGGTTTATATTCGCGGACATTTCCCTGGTTCATATTCGCGGACATTTCCACGAGCTTAATTCTGGTTTCTTTAATGATTTTAGCCAGGAATTCAATTGATTAAAGAATTCCATAGTTTGAAAGGTATAATTATGCTATAATAACGCTAAAATTCAAATATTTGCCAATTTCGATCAGTTATTTCCCTTTGCTTCTAACTGATACAACAATTTAGACACGGGGCCTTTTTGTAGGTTAGCGAATATTTTTCCCTCAAATTTTAAAACTTGGCAACAGACTATGAAGTTTAGTTATGTAAATGACACTGGCAAAGTTAACGTATCATCTGCGAAGAAGATAATTTCTAAAAAATATAGTTTAAGGGAGCCTTTGACTTTTGCACGCTACTGTACATTCTCGATTAGTACAGCACAACGACCATTTTTCCAGCGTCTTTTTGCGATGGATCGTATGTGTGAGTTGAACTTGAGGTCTGAGTTGAACTTGAGGTGTGAGTTGAACTTGAGTCACAAAATTGGATGAGTCGAGGTAGAAAGAGAGAGATAGAGAGATAAAGAGAGAAAGAGAGAGAGAGAGAGCAAGAGAGAGACAGAGAGAGATAGCGATAGACAGACAAAATAAAATATCGAGAAAATGAAAGAGGGAAAGTGTTGAAGCTTAAATAAGCATGGAATAATACAACACAAAATGTACGTTAACAAAATGTATTGAAACAAAAGAATAGGTACACAATATTTACAGATTAGTTTGGTATATTCTTGGGAAGACTGTTCCTGCATAATGGGTTGACTAAATCGCAGTCAGGCAGAGTCTCTGGATTCAATTTCTTAATCTCTACTATCTTCCCCCGTCTTCCGGTACCAACCCATATTTATATGGTCGGTAGTCCGCTTATGTAAATTAGGTGTATCATACACAACAGAAAGAAAAACGCTCAAATAGAAAATGGTAATGTTGATCGAGGGGGTGGGGCAAAGAAAGTAAGTAAGAGAGAGAAAGAGAGAGAGAGAAAGAGAGAGAGAAAGAGAGAGAGAGAGAGAGATAGACAGAGAGACCGAAAGAAAAAAAAGAAAAGAAGAAAGGGGAGTAAGAAGCGAAACATAAAGAAAAAGACTGAATAAAAAGAAGACCTATATTGAGCGAAAGGGAGAAAGCGAGAGTAAAAGAGAATTAATGAAAAAGAGAGAGAAAGGAAAACGATAAGGAGGACGTTAAGGAAGAAGGGTTGATGTATGTAGGGGAGAGAAAGAAGGAGAAATATAGAGATAAAGAGAGGAGAAAAGAAAGACATAAAGAAAGGGAGAGAGAAGATGAGAAAGAATGAGAGAGAGAGAGAGAGAGAGAGAGAGAGAGTGAAATAATAGATTAGAAATTGGAATAAGAAGAAGTGTCATATTGATCAAAATTGAAGAAGCCAAAGAAAACATATATATATATATATATATATATATATATATATATATATATATATATATATATATATATAAAAGGAAAGTTATTATAGTAGTTCAATGAGAGAAAAGTGTGTATATTAAAAAGAAAATTGAATCTGCGAACGTTTTTTGGTTTTATAATATGGATTTCTTAAAAAATATTATACTTTATTTTCCATTATATATATATATATATATATATATATAAATATAAAAGTGAATATAGAAAGTCAACACTTAGAGGCGACAGTCTGTTTTATGCTAGCATGAAACAGACTGTATCGACCAACTTCTATATTCTTTATATTACACTCTATCTCTGATATTGAGCACTTATCCCATAAATATACCCACATCTTAAGACTATATTTCTAACTATATATATATATATATATATATATATATATATATATATATATATATATATTATTTCAATAACTTGGGCCCGATTTTAAATGTGAACTAAGTTCAAGTGTCTAATGACTTTTTTCCTTTTTCTTTCAGATTTAACAACTTAAGACTTTGGCAATTTCAACCATGGAAAGATTAACAATCAAACAATGTATTAAAGTTACCGCAGCCTATTATGAAAATGGACTTTCAAACAAAAATTTTCGGGATAACAACTGAAACATTACTTATTGAATTATTTAGCTCATGCCACATTGATTGATAAACTCCTACAACAAAAAAATTCTTAAATTGCCATATTAGTAAAAAAAACACAGTCACTTAAATTTTCAAAAATATTCTACCTTAGCATTGCGACTGCACACTTCAAAGGTTTGTATCTGTTATCAATAACACATTTTAAACAAAAAATATTTTTTTTTCGTCTCGGATGCTACCTGAATTTTACCAATAAAATATTTTCCATGCCTGATGATGACTGGACGAAACATCGAAAGTACTTACGTATTTAAGGAAGACCTAATACAGTTTATAATTTTAAAAAACAAGGATCATAACATTCATCGAGTGATTAGTGGGTTAATGCATCTTTAAAATTTTGTTAGCGAAGTGATTTCGCCATTTTATATCATTAACTTTACTAATTTACTTTTTGTATGAATGATTCATTGTAATATAAATTAAACTGCACCACATAACAATATATATATATATATATATATATATATATATATATATATATATATATATATAGTTTATGAAATTAACACTTTCAAAAGTAAAACAAAAATAACAGCAGCTGTTTCTAGCCTTTTTTTCTCTCTATGGATTTTTTCTTTTCTACCTTCGATATCAATATATAACTTCCGTTAAGTTAACAAATTTTAAATGTGTCAATGTCTGCTAACTCACTCATATCTTCTCTCCCCCCTCACTTCCTCACTTCGTTAATTTGCATATGTTTAATACTGCCCGTCAAAATGTGTAAATTTTCTTTTCATTTTTGTTTGGATGTAAAGTCTGATGATCCTCAGTCCTTTAAAAGGGCTGTGGTGAAATAATTTATTAAAGTGGTCTGTTTTTATTTAATATATATATATATATATATATATATTAAATTGATATCATCCCAAGCAAGGCAGTAAAGCCACTTAAACGCAAGTAGCTAGAGGGTGTGGAAGAATTAGGAACACAAACATTAATGATCAGGGAAAGAAAAGAGAAATCGGTAGATAGCGACTGACATTGCATTTAAATTTTAGCAAATTAAAGTTGGCTGGAAAGCATGAAGCCGGAAGGGAGTTCTACAACCGAGAAGTGTGAGAAAATAAGAAGTTAGGGCTACATTTAGCTAGCTCAGCAGTATATCGATGAGATCTCAACGCCAGTCTAGTACCGCGCTTAAATTCACGGAGCCTAGGTACCATAGCGAAGTAGTCATCCGAACAATTAGAATGAAATATTTATAAAAAAGGCACAGAGAGGCAACCTTTTAGCAGTGGGTGAGTGACTGAAGCCGAGATGCCAGATCAGGACCAATAACATTGCTGATTCTTCTTTGGATCTTACCTAAGAGCTCCAGGAAAACAGCAGGGGCAACGGCCTATATATGGCAGCTGTATTCTAGGTATGGACGAATGGTAGACTTATAGATATGCAAGATAGATTCCGGGGATAGAAATTTTCTCTTTATTATTATACTATTATTTTTATTATATTATTATTTATATATTATTTCTCTATATACGTCATTATTCTGTATATATATATATATATATATATATATATATATATATATATATATATATATATATGTATAAAATATTTTTCTGTAGTTTACTGCTACCAGCAAGCAGAAATATTTCTTCTCCTGATGATGGCCATTTGGCCCGAAACTAGTCGAGGAATCTAAATGAAAAATAATAATAAAAGACGAAAAGAATATTAATTCACAACCCAGTGTGTCTGAATATTTTAATTTTTAATATTTTTATTGTTCAAATATATATATATATATATATATATATATATATATATATATATAGAGAGAGAGAGAGAGAGAGAGAAATAAAAATATAGGTGAACAGGATGTTTGAGCAAAAAAAGGACGATGTAGTTATAGGAGGGAAATTGAGGGAGAAAGAGAAATAGATTCAAAAATAGATAATGAGAAGAATAAAAAGAGGGGTCATGTAGAAGGATATTGAGAAAGAAAGAGAGAGAGGGAGGGAAAGAAATAAAGAAGAAATAAAGAACAGTCCAGGTGGGAGTAGGGAGAGAGAGAGAGAGAGAGAGAGAGAGAGAAAGAGAGGGACAGAGAGAAATGGGAGAAAAGGAAAGAAAAAGAGAATGAGAAAAAAAGAGAAGGTTGATAAAATCTGGGAAGGCAATTGACAGCGAAAGAGAAAGAGAGAAATCTATATAAATAGACGTTGAGTAAAAATAGTGGTTTTGAGAGAAGTAGTAGTAGAAGGAGGAGGAGGATGAGAAGAAGAAGAAGAAGAAGAAGCAGAAGAAGAAGAAGAAGAAGAAGTAGAAGAAGAAGAAGAAGAATGAAAAGAATAAGAAGAAGGGGCAGGAGGAAGAATAGAAGTGGGAGGAGGAGGCAGAAGAAGAAAAAGAAGAAGGAGGAGGAATAATGAGAAGAATAAAAAAAAAAAAGAGAAGAAGAAGAAGAAAATGAGTAGAAGAAAAAGAATAAGAAGAAGAAGAAGAAGAAGAAGAAGAAGTAGAAGAAGAAGAAGAAGAATGAAAAGAATAAGAAGAAGGGGCAGGAGGAAGAATAGAAGTGGGAGGAGGAGGTGTAGAAGAAGAAAAAGAAGAAGGAGGAGGAGAATAATGAGAAGAATAAAAGAAAAAGAAAGAGAAGAAGAAGAAGAAAATGAGTAGAAGAAAAAGAAAAAGAATGAGAAGAAGAAGAAGAAGAAGAAGAAGAAGAAGAAGAAGTAGAAGAAGAAGAAGAAGAATGAAAAGAATAAGAAGAAGGGGCAGGAGGAAGAATAGAAGTGGGAGGAGGAGGTGTAGAAGAAGAAAAAGAAGAAGGAGGAGGAGAATAATGAGAAGAATAAAAGAAAAAGAAAGAGAAGAAGAAGAAGAAAATGAGTAGAAGAAAAAGAAAAAGAATGAGAATTAGAAGAAATAGGAGGAAGAGCAGGAGGAAGAACAGAAGAAGAAGAAGAAGAAGAAGAAGAAGTGCGAGATCTGCTGTGTGCCTATGTAAATGGGTTTTGTAAGCCGCTCGACTCGGCTGCATCGACAGCCTCAGTTTACACGTTTGATTAATTCTTGGGCCTACAAGATGCAATAAACCTCTACTGACCAATAATGCTCCATTGGCCACAGGATTTAGCTCCACTCGTCTGAAGGGATTTCGAGCGAGGACCATTACAGACATTAGAAAACTGTGTGCTCATCTGTGACCCCAGTTAGACAGTTCAGCGGACAGAATGAACTTAAAGTTCCCGCTTCTAAATAAATCGAAGAAGGCAGCCGCCATAGAATCGCCGTTTCTTTTGATAGAGAACGCACGTGTTCAATGTTAATGCCTCGCTTGAAATGAACGCAAGTCGAAAGAGATTCAACATTGGGTCGTCTCTCTGTCGTCTCTTTTACCGATTTTCGTATTTGGTAAATAATTCAAGATTATTTACTAAGCTTAATTTAGTCTGGTACAAGGTTCAAAGGTTTTAGCAATTTTACTACTGGGGACAAAACAGGGCATTTTTTGAGTTTTAACTTTGTCCTGAACATCTCCAAGGAATTTCCTATCTTAACTCTGACACACGTCGAAGGTGTTTAGATTTGTCCTGACAATCCGTTAATATTGGCATAATCTTGAAATATGTCCAAGTTATTTCTTAAAAATTAAGTTAACCCGGATTAAGCTTGACATATATCCAAGACATTGAAAAATCGGAAGACAACACCGAAAACTTTTATAAATATAGCAAAAATTAATCCTTATACCTTTTCAAAACATGCCATAGCTAAGACTAAATTTAAGACCTGTTCATGGTATGTCATAAGCTGGGATTAATCATGACATATGCCCAAGGTATATAGAACACGGAAACGAACTAGGACATTCGTTTTAAATATAGCAATAGCTAATATAAATCCTTGTACTATTTCAAATCATGCCATAGCTTATAATAAAGTTGAGACCTGTTTATGGTATGTCCTTGACCAAGGTATGTAGAAAGCCTAAAGGAAACCTTACGGTGAGTCATGATACATGACTGACGAGGCAGATTTTTTCTAGCAGTTGGTTGCTATTTCTTTCTGAGGTAGACCAGTTGACATCCAAGGGTATAGAATGTTAGAGCTAAAGGGAGGGGTAACACACATGTGTATGCGTGTATATGTGTGTATATGTATACGCATGTGTTTTTGAACATAAAAATATAGGTCCTTGTTTATATTTGATTTGTAACCTGTAGTCGATATTAATTTTGTCAAATTTTCTTAATTACACAGCGGCCCTTTCAGTAAATGTCCTTCAGTTTTAGTTTTCCCCGCCCCATCTCTCTCCCCCACCCCTTTTTCTTTTC